AAAAAAAAAAAGAAATCGTTTCGCTTAAACGAATCGACGTACCGATTTAATCGGGATATTAAAAACCCATTACAGAGGGGGGCCGAAAAGACAGAAGAAAATTTCGTGCCTCCCCTCTCCTCCCTCCCCTCCCAGTCTCACAATTACGCATTCGTCGTCATCGCTCGTTACCTCGATTACCATTACGATTATACACACTTTCGTCGCGCGAAAAGTATTCGAAAGATAAGAGATACTTAAGATACGAGAAAGCATGCCGCTTTCTTTTGCTTTCGACGTGACGAATAATACTTGGAACGATAGGACACCCCCCCTCCCCTCCGATAGGTTACCGTTAATCTAATTAATCTTTACGAGTGTAATTAGCCCGTTAACTGCCTTCCTCCTTATTCCAGGAGGAAGGAGATTCCACGGAAAGGCGGCGTATATGTGTGTGTGTGTGTGTTACGTTACTCGGTCAACCGATGCTTCTTTTATCTTCACGAGTAGCGGGTACACGGGTATCCCATTTCGAGGCTGTTCGCCCGTCCACAGGAGATACTTTTCGGTGTATTCCGCCACCTTTATACTCCTCGCTTCCGATATACGCTCCCCGTTCACCGTGGTTTACGGTGGTAAAATTTTGCGTTATTGTATATTAAAAGTGTTTTCGATAGTTGTATAGAGATAAAACGGGGAATAAAAAGAAACGAACCTATCGAGTTTGAGGAATATTTTTCTATATTTTTTGTTTTTCCTCCTCCCTCCTTCCCCTTCTTTAAATAATTTCTTTCTCGCGACAAATCCGGGCCGGGTATTTACATAAAACGAGCCGAAAAACCGGACCAGGATCGACCACCTCCCACCGTATAATCGCCTTGATATCAGCTTTCTCGCGTCGCGCCATTTGCACCAACCTGCATTTTTAATTAACGCGACACGATAATCGGCACGACGCCCCATGCGTGTAACGAGCGACATCCGGTGACGGGTTGAATTACGTCGATCCATTAACGTTTGGGCAGGTGGAATTGGCGGAGAATTGATAGGAGGTGGGGAAAGGAGGCGAGGAACAAAAACGGCCACTCAGGGAGAGATATCTCGTTTTATGGGGAGTCGGAGATAAACGCTCGCCGCCGTTAACGCGACTCCATCTTTTCTTTTCTTTTCTTTTTTTTTTTTCCCTCTTCCTCCTCTTCGTAAACGAAGATGCGTCCTCGAGGTGGTGGCGGTGTGTCCCCTGAATTACGTTTATTGCAACTGAACGGCAAATAAACGCTTCGCGTTTACGGAGAATTTCTTCGATACGAGACGATGGGGCTTTTGGCTCGAGCGCTTTCGACGACCGCAATTTTCAGAAGCTGAAACTTTTCAGAAGCGAGGTTGAGTTATTTTTCGACGAAAGAAACCTCTTCCTCTTCGAGACCTCTCGATCGGCGTGCAAGCACTCGTTCGTATCGATCTCGATCTCGACCTCGGTGCTCGGAATCGGAGCGCGTTCGAAAATAGCGACTGACGCAAGATCATTGTCCGGCCGCGGCGCTGATCGAAGAGATCGACGTAACGAAAAAAAAAAAAAAAAAAAAAAAAAAGAAGAAAAGAAGAGAAAAAGAAAGGAAATCCAGATACTTATGCATAGCATAGCTCGATACCGCTCGATGGCGATCGGTTTTCTCACGGTGTGTTTCGCCTCGGATACACAGGAGGCGAGGAGGCGCGCACGATCGAGAAGGGCCCGAAGAGGGTGATTTCATCGAGATGGATTGGACGCCTCGGCGGAGCCTTCGCCACGAGGGTTGACTGATTTGTGTGCGCAACGTCCCGTCACCTTGACTCTACTTAAATGGGAATAAACGACACCGCTTCCACGGCATCCCCCTCCTTTCTCTCTCTCTCTTTCCCATCTCTTCCTTCCTCTATCCTCGCTTCTCCATCCTCGTTTCCTCCGTGGAAACGTTGCGAAGAAGGAAGATCGAAGAAATAGAGAGCAACCGCAGGAGATAAGCTCGCAGGTGTAGAGAGGCGTCGTGGTCGTCGTCGTCGTGGTCGTCGTCGCAAAGCCGATTGCGGAGTGATCGGGCCTCGTGTGGGAGCCGATAGTGTGGACGATACCTGGCGGTAATAGCAAGTCCAGCACCCAGGAGAAATGCAATTTTAAACGTATCCGCGTCTAGATCCAGCCAGTAGGGAGAGTTACTCGCTCGAGCTGGCAACGCGTTCGATTATCCTCGCTCGAAGAATTTGCATCGCGAAAGGGAGCGTTTCGAAAAATTTCGAAGGGGGAGGGTAGATGGATCGAAAGAAATTGGGAGGGGAGTAATTGGAGGCAATTAACCTTGCCACCTTGGGACACGCTTTGCTCTTTGATCTTCCATCGAGAGAATCGATGGAGCCAGCAGATCTCCGCGCGCCTCCTGTCTCCTGCCTCGACTTCGTCATTAACCGACCAACGAGCAGCATCGACGAGGCCGCGTCCGCGCGGAATTAATGAGAATCGACCTACACAATGCGGCAAATAATCCGCTATAAAACGCATAAGGAAAGATCCTCGATCTTGCGCAGGTGTATCTCAGCTATCGACACGTGACTCACGACAGAGAGGAGGAGAGGTGTGTGTATATGCACGTATATATACACGCTTTTAAATCACTCCTTCGCAGCTCATTGTTCCCCCGACAATACATTATCAGTTAAAAACCGGACGGATAATCCTCTTCCATCGTTCCACCGTGGAATGTGTCGACTCACGTCACCGGTTTCCCACCGTACACGCTAATTATTCCCCTCCCTCGAGGAGAGGGCTGCTCTTCTCAACCGATCGATCGACCCGATGATCTTTAATTAAAACGACGCCAATACCGAATAGTCGGGAAAATTAAAACCGAATCCCCCTTCGGATAATATCGCAACCGCATAACGTCAGATCGTAATCGCGAATAAAAGTTATAAGCCGGTATTGTCCACGATTCGTGGCTCGAGAGGAGGGGGTGTTAAGTTTTTTTCAATTAACGTCGAAAGGTCGATGCCTCGGCGCGTCTCTTCGCATGTAAAACTCTCTCGTTTTTTCTCTCTCTCTCTCTCTCTCTCTCGAGTAGGATCGATCGTCGAGATCGTTAACCGACGAGACACCGTACGCAGTCCCAGGTGGTCATTCAGCCAAGTATTAGTTACGTTTGCCTGGTATTGAATATATTTGGTTTGCTAATGTTCAGACAGCGCAACGATGTCTATCTCAATTTGCACCTCTAACTAACACGGCTGCCATGCTCGAGGAACTTACTCTCGAGGAGACAATCTTACGAATACTTCCACGTTTTATTTCTTAACTCATCAAGAAATACCCTATTCTTGCGCGCAATTTCTATTCTCACGGAAACACTCACGAAGCGACCTCGAAGAATCTCTGACGAATCTTTGACGAATAAAACTTTGGGGCCACAACGATGGCACGCGTTCGCCCCATCCAAGTACAAAGAGGAGAGGAAGAATACACTTTTTTCGAAACGAAGGAGGAATGGTTTGGAACAACGGGGCAAACAATAAGCCGGGGATCGCCGGAAGGTTGAAAAGTTGTTCCGAAGTGGGTGTCTCGTGTGGGTGGGACGAAGCTATTCGTAAGTCTCGGGAGGAGGGGGAGAGGAGGGGAGAGGTCGAGGTGGAAGAAGGCAAAGGCCAAAGAGGGAAGCGCGGGTATCTCTGTATGAAAGAGATCTAACGGTTGGATCGGTTGGAGAGAACGATAAGAGGCACGGGCGGAAGCCCGCGTCTCGTCGTCCCTTTTGTCGTTCCACACGCGTGTATATACATATACATATACATATATATATATAGGCCTATAACCACCGTACCCGCTTCCACCGCTAACACCGTTCTTCCATTTAGCTACCCGGAAAAAATCGGAGCGGGTTAAACAGGGCGTTCTTGTTGCCTTCCACTTGATCCAGGGACGGCGAGAGGAGGAGAGAAAGAGGGCCGATTATTAGCCTCTTCACGTTTCAAAGAAGATGTCTCGACGATCGAGTACGAATGAGGAGCGGTTTCTTACATTGGTTCGAGATTTTCCAAAGATGGCTCCTCTACCTATCTATCTATCTATCTATCTATACCCGTGTCGTTCGATCCAGGTAGCCTCGAAGTTCGAACGATTCATCTCCGAACGGAATGGATCTACGAATGGAACGCGTTTGGAAGAAGGGGGAAAAAAAAAGAAAGAAAGATCGAGAATCCGTTCCCTATGGAGAAAAGGTATCTCGGGTTCAATTAACGCCGGGGGAGAATCG